TCTGCACCCCCACCCCCCGCAGGTGCCTAGAGGGGTGCGGCACCCGCCATGCGCTGCCGCAGACTGGCCCTGGGCCTGGGCTTCTGCCTGCTGGTGGGCACGGCCCTCTGCGCTCTGTGGTGAGCATGCCCAGGGCGCCCTCCAGCCCCACCTCAGACTCCTCTCTTGGCATCTCAGCCCCCAAACCTGACCCGTTCAGGGCATGCCCACCTCTCCTGGCACAGCTGTCCCCCAACCCCAGGAAGACCCAAAGAGGCTTCTAGATTTTGCCTGGGACTGGCCTCCTGGCCTTTGCACTTGCTCTTCCCTCTGCCTCGCCGTCCTTCTAGCCCCGTTGACCAGGAACTCCTGGTGATGCTCCCAGTTCGCGCGGTGCGTTCCTGGGCTGCCCCTCACCACACCGGCCCCCCTAGTGTGTGCAGGGCTGGAGTCAAGAACACCCCTGCCCCAGGGATGAATGACTTCAGGGGTGACTAGTGCCTGCATGCTGGACGACAAGGAGGCCTTGTCCCTGGCGGTCAGCCAGACCAAGGCGCCATGGGGACCGCAGATGCTCCCCGGGGCCTTTGCTCCCCCCACCAGTGTGCACCAAGGGGGTTCTAGCCTCTGGGCCCTCAAATCAGCGGTGTTTTTCCTTCCCAGGGTATATGCCGACGACTGGCTGCCGTTCTCCTATGTCCCCTATTACCTCCCCTGCCCAGAGATCTTGTAAGTACGGGGCTGGGAGAACTGGGGGCCCGGTGGGCTGCACGGAGTGGGGGAGATGGGGGTTTTTAAGGCCACACTGTCTGCAGGGTCTTGGGTCCTAAGCTCACGATCAGTGTGGTGAGTGTTTGGTAATTTATGGGCTGCCCTGTTTCAGTGTCTGTCCCTGCAACACCCGCTCCGCAGCCGGGCCTCACTTGCCCCATCTGCAAGATGGGATGGTCCAGGTGCCCCTCACGGCTCCTGGGGTCACGGAGTGCCAAGGTGCCTGAGTAGCCTGGGGTGGCACCGGCCTCCGAGTGGGCGCTCCGGAAACAGTGCTTTGAGGACTTGACCATTTTGCTCAGCTCTGTTCTTTGTGGATTCAAGGAGCAAATTAACATGTGACCGAACTCTGGCCCACGTCACAGCTCACAGTGCAGAGGTGGGTTGGGACAGAGTCCCGGGGGCATCCGGCCCCCGCCTTGTGCTCCATGACAACTAAAGGAAAGTCTAAAATCTGAGCACAGACTATTGATGAACAAGGCGTGTTTTATTATCATAAAAACATGAATATTGCACGGCCAGGGGGCTCAGTTGGAGGGTCGACCCCTGACACCAAAAAGGTTGTGGGCTCAATTCCCAGTCAGGGCACATAACTAGGTCGTGGGGGTTCAATCCCCGGACAGAGTGCATGGGAGAGGCAACTGATCGATGTTTCTCAGGCCGATGTTTCTCTCTTCCTCTCTCTAAAATCAATAAGAACAGCACTGGCAGGTGTGGGTCGGTAGTTAGAGCATGGGCCCTTGCACCGAAGGGCTGCAGGTTTGATCCCCGAACCGCCAGGGCTTGTGCGGGAGGCCACTAATCAGTGTGTCTCTCTCCCACCCCCCTCCTACCGTCCTTTTCTCTAAAAAATCAATGCAAAATATATCCCCTGGTGAGGATTAAGATAAATAATAATAAATTAAAACCAATAAACACATGTCCTCAGGTGAAGATTAAAAACATTTAAGCACAGAATATAGTAAATTAGGAAGCTGGAAAGCAGAGAAGTCTTAGAAGCAGCCCTGGTGGGTCCCACTGACCTGAATTTTGCTCCCGTTTCAAAGTTCGCTGTGGCTTGTTGCTTGCTGTGCTTTCTAAAGGATCAGATTGGGCATCTAGTTGGTTCTGAAAGCAGAAAGGCTCCTTGCCGTTGAAAATGGTTGTGGCCTCAGATGACAACCAGTGGAACGGGAGCGGTAAACCGAACCTCCCAACAAAGGGAGGCCTGCGCCGACCGCCTCACAGGGGAACTTCACCAAACATTCAAAGGACGAACACGCCTTAAACCAGCCCAACAAACTCAAGAGGAAACACTCCCACGCTCACCTAGTCCTAATTCCAAACTAGATAAAGACACAACAAAGAAAGAGAAGTACAGGTCTATATCCCCGATAAACATAGCTGAAAAAAATCTAAACAAAATAGTAGCAAACCGGATCCGGCAATATATTAAAAAGATCATACACCACGATCAAGTGGGATTTTTTGCGGGATGCAAGGCTGGTACAGTATTCGCCCCTAGAGTGCCGGGAGCGCTATTGCGCTCCTCCTGCAGTGTCACTATTAGATGCTAGCAGTTCACTCTTTATTGACAGATGGCACCTAAGTGTAGAAAACAAATGTAGTAAAGGTTTCCTTAAGTTTTTGAATATGTAACTTCATTTACTTGCGATTCATGTTTTTTTTCCTAAACTGCTGTAAAATCAGCAAAAATGCCTTGGCCATTTTAGCATAGTGCCTAGGATATTGGTTGGCACTCAAAGGGTTAAAAACAGAAAAGTTGTGGTCATGATGTTTTTTGCGATTTTATTGTAATGTTTTTCCCAGAAGTGGCTTTATTTTCCTGCCTGTGCTCGTACGCTTCGGGGTCCCCGCCGGTTCCTTCCCCCGGGACCCGGTTCCCGGTTCCCCAGTGTGCTGCATGAGTTTGCAATGAGCAGCCTTGGATATAAAGCTTTTGCCATCTTCAAGGTCCTTTTGTTTGATGTGTTCCCTTCCTGGGCCAGAGGACATGGAGAGGTTCTTTTTAAAAAAAAAATACTTTATTGATTTTTTACAGAGAATACATCATGCCCAAGTGGGATTTATTGCGGGATGCAAGGCTGGTACAGTACTAAAAACAGGAAAGTTGTGATCGTAATGTCTTTGCAATTTTATCCTGTTTCCCGGAAGTGGCTTTATTTTCCGGCCTGTGCTCGTCCACTTTGGGGTCCCCGCCAGTTCATTCCACCGGGGCCCGGTTCCCCAGTGTGCTGCATGAGTTCGTAATGAGCAGCCTTGGATATAAAGCTTTTGCCGTATTCAAGGTCCTTTTGTTTGATGTGTTCCCATCCTGGGCCAGAGGACATGGAGAGGTTCTTTTAAAAAATATATATATATTTTATTGATTTTTTACAGAGAGGAATAGAGAGTTAGAAACATCCATGAGAGAGAAACATCGATCAGCTGCCTCCTGCACACCCCCTACTGGGGATGTTGCCCGCAACCAAGATACATGCCCTTGACCGGAATCGAACCTGGGACCTTTCAGTCCGACACTCTGTCCACTGAGCCACACCGGATAGGGCCAGGGCACACCCCACACCCCCTGACACTGCCCCTGGGCCCCTACTGGCAGGACCAGGAGCTAGAAAAACTAAGACCAACCCTCCCCCCAGCCCCCCATGTCTTGGATGGCTCCCAGGCTCTTTCCCACAGGCCTCCATGGGTCCCCTTTCCGCTCCCAGCCCCCTTCTCCCTTTGGTGTGCATGTGCCCTGACCAGGGCCAGGGATCAAGCTTGCAATCGAGGTACCTGCTCTTGACCAGAATCGAACCCGGGACCCTTCAGTCCGACACTCTATCCACTGAGCCACACCGGATAGGGCCAGGGCACACCCCACACCCCCTGACACTGCCCCTGGACCCCTATTGGCAGGACCAGGAGCTAGAAAAACTAAGACCAACCCTCCCCCCAGCCCCCCATGTCTTGGATGGCTCCCAGGCTCTTTCCCACAGGCCTCCATGGGTCCCCTTTCCGCTCCCAGCCCCCTTCTCCCTTTGGTCCGCCTGCGGTCCCGTCATCACCCTTGGCGGAGCATTTTTGCTACGTTTTTTTCTTTCTCCGGTTTGTCCATCTTTGGGTTTTACCGAGTTCTTTTTCTGGACACCAACCACCCTGCCACTCGGTGACCCTGGACAGACGCTTCTGTCGCAGCCCAGCCCCTGCAGAGCGGGCAGAGCCTGCCCTGTGGGTGCTGGGTTAACCTCAGCTTCATTCTGCCACCGCCTGGCACTGACGGCTCTCTCGCCTCTGCCCACAGCAACATGAAGCTGCAGTTCCGGGGGGAGAAGCCGTTCCAGCCCGTGGCACGGTAAGCAGACTGTCCTCCCCGCTTTGTGGCCCGGGGGGCGGGGGGAGGGGCGCCTCCCTCACCACTGGCCCTTCTCGGTCGCAGGTTGCAGTACCCTCAGCCGAAGCTGCTGGAGCAGAGGTGGGTGCAGCCTGGAGGCCGGGGCTGGAAGTGGGGGGTGTGCTTTGTAGTTACTACCGTCCCCCTATTCCACCTGGGAATGCTGAGGCCCGGAGACAGGGACGAAGCCTCCTGGGGTCACACGGCGTGGGTGGCAGGGCCAAGGTGAGCCCGCGGTGCTCACGGGGAGGGACTCATGCCCTGGGCCACCCCACCGCCAGGCCCACAGAGCTGCTGACGCTCACGCCCTGGCTGGCGCCCATCGTGTCTGAGGGGACCTTCGACCCGGAGCTCCTGCAGCTCATCTACCAGCCGCTGAACCTGACCATCGGGCTCACGGTGTTCGCCGTCGGGAAGTGAGTCGGGGGCGGGCGGGGAGGGGTGGTCCTCTCTGAGCCGGGAGCTTCCAGTCTGGGGCGAGGCAAGGCCTGGATGCAGCAGCCCACCTAGCCTCCCTGAACCAGGTGCTGCGCAGGGGGCGGCAGAGAGGAGCGGGGGCTGGTGGACAGGGCTTCCTCAGCCCACCCAGCCTCCCTGAACCAGGTGCTGCGCAGGGGGAGGCAGAGAGGAGCGGGGGCTGGTGGACAGGGCTTCCTGGAGGAAGGGGGCCTGGCCCTGCATGGAGGGAGGGGAGGGGGGCAGCGCAGGGGAGGGGACAGCAGAAGCCCGTGTCAGAGACCCCTCACCCCTCTCCGCTTCTCCTGAACAGTCAGGCAGGCAGGAAGGAGTGGAAACCCCCTAGACCACCTCATAGAAGTTGGGGTCCATGGACAAGCCACCAGCAGGTCCAGAGACCCATGCTGAGCCGGCCCCGCCCTCAGGCCCCTCTCTTCCCCGCCCTCTGCTGCCTGCTCTCTGGGTTTCTCCTATTCTCTCTCCTCCCAAGTGGCTTTTCCTATAAGAGCCACCACCTGGCAGCTTCCCTCTGGGTCCCTTTCTAGGACTCGTGAGAGAGGGACCATGATGGGCCCCTATGGCCTAAAGTGCTGGCCAGATGATGGGTGAGCCCTGGTCCAATCAGCTGTGGCTTGGAGGGCAGGGCTCAGTCGTTTTACCTGCCCTGGGCCCCCAGCACCACTCACCTTCCCTTAAAGCAGCCACTGACCTGCTTGGTCCCTTTCCCCTCTCCGTGACGCAGCGTCTCTGCCCGTACAGTGGGTTACGGTGGAATCCCTTAGGCCCGCCGGCACGGAGTAAGTGCTCAGTAAGAGGTGGGCTTGTGATGTGACAGTCAGCGCCACTCAATCGTTCTGCAGAGGCAGGTGCTATGATGGTGGCATTTGACAGACGAGGACCCCTAGGGTCAGAGTGAGTGACAGCTCACGGTGGGGAGCGGAGAGGTGCCAGCACGCGTGGGGACTGGGCAGGGCGCTGCCGGGCCACCGGGATGACAGGCTCTTGCACCAGGTACACGGGCTTCGTCCAGCACTTCCTGGAGTCGGCCGAGCAGTTCTTCATGCGGGGCTACCGGGTGCGCTACTACGTCTTCACCGACAAGCCCGTGGCCGTGCCCCGGGTCCCGCTGGGCCCCGGCCGCCTCCTCAGCGTCCTGCCCATCCAGAAGCACTCCCGCTGGGAGGAGATCTCCACGCGCCGCATGGAGACCATCAGCCAGCACATCGCCCAGCGGGCGCACTGGGAGGTGGACTACCTCTTCTGCGTGGACGTGGACATGGTGTTCCGGAACCCCTGGGGCCCGGAGACCTTGGGAGACCTGGTGGCCGCCATCCACCCCGGCTACTACGCCGTGTCCCGCCAGCAGTTCCCCTACGAGCGCAGGCATGTTTCCACCGCCTTTGTGGCGGACGGCGAGGGGGACTTCTATTACGGCGGGGCGGTCTTTGGGGGACGGGTGGACAGGGTGTACGAGTTCACGAGGGGCTGCCACATGGCCATCTTGGCGGACAAGGCCAACGGCATCATGGCGGCCTGGCAGGAGGAGAGCCACCTGAACCGCCGCTTCATCTCGCACAAGCCCACCAAGGTGCTGTCCCCCGAGTACCTCTGGGACGACAGGAAGCCCCGGCCTCCCAGCCTGAAGCTGATCCGCTTCTCGACGCTGGACAAGAACACCCACTGGCTGCGGAGCTGATGGTAGAGTCGGGGCTGCCGTGGACGGGGACTCAGTGGAGCACCCAGCAGCCCCAGGGAGCACCCAGCAGCCCCAGGGAGCACCCAGCTCACCCCAGAGGAGCACCCAGCTCACCCCAGTGGAGCACCCAGCTCACCCCAGAGGAGCACCCAGCAGCCCCAGGGAGCACCCAGCTCACCCCAGGGAGCACCCAGCTCACCCCAGGGGAGCACCCAGCAGCCCCAGGGAGCACCCAGCTTGCCTCAAGGGTGCACCCAGCTTGCCTCAGGGGAGCACCCAGCTCGCCTCAGAGGAGCACCCAGCAGAGCACCCAGCTCGCCCGTCAGTGCCTCACTTCCCACGCCTTAGCTGAGACCTGCCCTGCCCGGCCTGCCTCCCTGTCAGGAAAATCCAAGGGGAAAGCGACGGGAAGGGCCTTTATACACCGTGAAGGGCTGTGCCCACATGAGAACGCAAACCTCGAATGTTGCCTAAGAGGGGGACGGGGAGGGGAGACTAGTGGTGAAGAGGGCAGGCCCAGAGGCTCCCACAGACGTGCCTTCGGCGGCTCTGCAGCCTGCCCTGCTCAGCGCCTGCGGTCCCACCCCTGCCCCCCTTTGCTGCCCGTTGCCCTTCGAGCTCACTTGTCACTGCTGGTTGTGAAGGGCGCCCAGGTCCCCTGTTCCCCGGCCGCAGGGCCCCCGGCACTGCGATGTCCCCCCGCCAGTCCTCACTCCGGACCCCCTCTGGTTCCCAGTCCAGCTGCACCCACTCCCCATGGCGGCCTCCCTGGCCCTGCCGCCTCTTTTGTAAGAAGGCTGGGCAGTTTTCATAAAGGTGGAGCCTGCTGGGCCCTAACCAGGGCTTCCCACCTGTGCATCTGAGCAGCACCTTTGCCATGGAGAGGAGAGGTGGAGGGCAGGAAGGGGTGCGCTCTAGCCACATCCGGATGAGCACCCACCCTGGAGAAGCTGGGTGCCAGCCCGGAGCCCACTCCTCCTGCAACACGCGGTCTGGCTGGTGATCACCAGGGTCGGGCAGACTGAGGGACCAGTATGAGGAGAAAGCCTGGACTGGCGAGGCCCTGGGGTGCTTCCGAGGCAAAGGGACAGGGTGGGCCCGTGGCCCGTGTGTCCCCAGTGGGGGGTCTTGGCCTGCTCCAGGGAGGCAGGTCTGAAGCAGGGCTATGGAAGGAGCAGGCCCTACCCCGCTGTGGGTCCGAACCCCGGCCAGTCTGACCCCCAGAGGCTGTGCCTGCCCCGGAGCCCGAGCACAGCCTTGTATTTGTAATTTGTCCCTCGCTTACAGTGCGTCTGCCACTTGAAAACTTCAGAACCACCCGGCCAGTGTGGCTCAGTGGTTGAGCATTGACCTATGAACCAGGCAGTCACGGTTTGATTCCTGGTCAGGGCACATGCCGGGCTGTGGGCTCGATCCCCAGTAGGGGCATGCAGGAGGCAGCCGATCAGTGATTCTAGCTCATCATTGATATTTCTCTCTCTCTCTCCCTCTCCCTTCGTCTCTGAAATCAATAAAAATATATATTAAAAATTTTAAAAATAAACTTCAGAAACCCCAAACTGATCTGTCCTGGCAAGATTGGTACCTGCAGCTCAGATCTGAGCCTGTCAGACCGGCTGCTGGGCTGTCTCCAGGCCCTCCCGCTCCCCACTCCCCGCTGGGTCAGGCTGGGCCTTACCCCACCCCCTCATCCTTCCCATCCGTGGAGCACCCCGGCCCCCGGCCCTCAGCTCCTTTGAGGGGAGAGCCTGGCCCCTGGTTAGGTCCCAGAAGTTGGGTTCTGTCACTGGTATCTCAGGGCCATGCCCTGGGATGGGGACCAGGGTCAGCCATAGTCCCCAGGGGCTTGGGCCCCAGTTGAGAAGGCTCTGGGTCTGAGGGGCACCGGACCCAAAGCTGAGCTGGGAGTGGGGCTGGCTCAGGGCCACCCCCTCCCGGGCCTTCCCTGGCCAGGGAGCCCCAACAGAAGACAAGGTCAGCCCAGCCTCAGGGCTGCAAAGAGCAATGATTCTGGACCCCCCCGCCCCCCACACACACACCTCTTCACAGCAGGAGTTGGTCACTCAGAGCTGAGAGGTCCTAAGTACTGGGGCCACCGCTCATCTATAAAGTGGGTGAAAGCACTGAGGGTCCAGGGGGCTCCCCAATAACAGTAACTACCCCCAGCACTGGCCCATCTGGGGTGGAGCTCTCTCCACAGCCGCGCAGCCCTCTCACTCCAGCCAGGGCGCCGCAGGGACAAGATGGACCACCGTCTGGGGTCCTGCCAGGAAGAAAGCGGAGGGGTTCAAGGAAAGGTAGAAGGGGCGGCCTCACCTGGCTGCCTCCTCGTGTCCATTCCCATTCCAGGTCCCCTGGACCAGCCATCCACCCAACTACCTCTGCAGGTGGCAAATGGGGACCAGGACGACAGGGGTGTCCATGCGATGACGCCCGTGTCCTCAGGTCTCCATGCCCACACGGCCCAACACCGGCGGACTCGGCCCGGTTGGGTTTGGGGTGGTCGGAGGGCTTAAGGGGGCGCAGGGAGCAGGCGGCGGG